TGTATACTAAAATATACTGCTTTGTCATTTGGACTTGACATTACAATGCCAGACATGTACTTACGGGACAGTAAAGTTCTCCACTGGTGAGCAGCTGGAAAACATTTCACAGAAAATGTGCACCAAGATCCTTTTGTGTTTTAGAAGATTGTTTTTGTACGGTTTTATAACATTTACCAGGAGACACCCTTTAGACAATGTGAAAACATATCCTGTCATTATTTCCACTAAGAGAAGAGCGCATAATATACAATAAAGGAATTTAATTTAAACTGTTCAGATATCATTTCAGGTTTTGGTAGGGTTTGGTTTTTTATAGTAATGTGTCTCAAAAGGATTTTGAGCCTAATTCAGTTTAACAGATCAGTTTATTCTTTCATTCAGTTCCATTCTTAGTATTTAGTAATCATATGATTAGGTGGCATGGCACCCAGTCATATGATTACTGATCCTGTTTTCATTGTTACAAGTCAGGTTTGCTCATAATTCTTCTCATTAAAAACATCTAGTTATCCCAGTTTGACTTTGTACTTTATACTGATGGGTTGGAGCATTTCATCCTAAACTCACAGCGAGTCCCACTCACTCAAAACTCAGAGCTCAGAGTTTGACACTGAGAATGGACTTTACAGTGAAGGAGGAGACAGCTTGTGTGCAGCAGGAAAACTGAACAACATTTGCATATTCAGAGATTGTGGAAGTTTTAACGAGGAGGAGGAGGAGATGACTTTTTAAGGGTTTAAATGCGGAAAAAAAACTTATTTTTCTTGGAAAAACATATCATACACACATTATTGTTTCAAGCAGACTATTTATATATGTCTTAATACATGTCTGGAGGGGATCTTTGCTTATATCTATCAACACCCAGTCTAACCTGTGATGACATGCATTGCAGTATAATCAGCAGCAGCAATAAGAGATTGCAGCCTCTGTAGGTGAACAAGGAACTGCTATGGAAGAAAATATTCAAGTTTGTAATGGACAGAAAGATCACATGCAGACTGAGGTGTAGCACCATGCTAAATGGTTGTCGTTTGACTTAACTTTCAGGGTCTAAAACAGAAAAGCAGTAATCAGCCTTTAGAATTAAGTAATGGTTCATTGTTATTAACTAAAGATTAGTACTTTTAGTAAATGTGACCGCCTCTGAATTGCACCATAATTGTTTTGTTGTCCCTGTCCTTGTATTCCATATTAACTGGATGTTGTTTTCACTCCATACTTGTAGTATCAGTTTGTATTGTCTGTTACTGCTGTAAATACCTATGTTATCATTATTTTCTTCTATGGGATTTTCATTCGAGCGGTCTCTGATAAACCAGCAGAGGTGCGTGCGTCCTCATAACAGACACACAAAGCGCTCCAGCATGCCAAGGAGAAGCACTTGAGTCTTTATTTAATCCTGGGCAGCCCTGCAGGATGATGCAGAGGACAACCTGTTATGTAACACTCGGAATGCTGCTGCAGCACAAATGTCCATTACACACCGGGGCACGCTTTACTGCACTGTGGACACAACACCACAGGCAGTACCACGCACACTGCTGCACAATGCCATTCATAAATGGCAGCAGACGACCATGGACAGCCACACACAAACACACGTGTACAGTGCACAGCCAGTGCCCACACATGCAGTATGGGTGCCATAGAGCCATACAGCTGCACTGTGCGCACACACACACACGTTCAGTCATATAGGAGACAGCTAATCATTTAAAATCCCCTGTTACTGACTGCACTGTTTACACAAGTGCAACCATAATGACATATTCCCAAGAAAGACATTATAGAGGGGGTTTAACTTTGCTGCCTGGGATTAAGACCCACATCCTTGCTTTAGGAGCTAACTTTGACAGTGTTTTATCAAAAAGAAAAAACGTTACAGACTCTTGTAGCTTGGCTATAATGAAGAAACACCGACGTCACCTTTCCTCGAAACATGGCAACTTTCTGCAACGGGCCAAACTCTGTTCAGAAATGTGTCACTTTTATGCTGTTTGGACTGCAACGACCCTACATGGCAGAACAAGTCTAAGCTTTGAGTTATTCTACACATTTAGAGCTCCGTCTTTGATTCATCGTACAGTCAGTATAATAAAGCAGCACATACGCGATTTTTACTATTGTTTTTACCCTACTGCAACACTGTTATGGTGTCACGGCAGAGGGCAATATCGAGCAACATGAACACATTTTAAAGTTGAAATTGTGCCGCTTTTTGTATCACACGAATGCCGAATTTGGCTCAAGAGTGTGTCGACTTCGAAAAAGTGTAGAGTCAGTTTTAGCGAGGGGCCTACTTTTACCGGTAAACGAGCCAACATTACACCGTTACATTTTTAATGGAGTTTGTCGCTACATACCTTTGGCCAAAACGGCGCATTTCTAAGCTAGTTAACCACTTGTCGTTAATACACCAGGACAGCTGGGATATCAAACAGTGTGAAGCCACTCATGCACACAATTGTAAGTTATAACAGATGGTGTAAAGTCACACCTACCGTCGTAGCCGCCCGGTGTGGGTGAACCTGCCGTCCGCAGCCTCTACCTGGATGCACCCCGACCCAGCGCGGAGGCGTTCACATCACCTTACTCCAGCAGATTCTTCCATTCAAATGTATCCCTTTAGGTCGGGAGTGCAACGGTCCAGCGGACTAATCCCTCTTTAGGAGATCCGCGATGCTGCAGTCCTACAGTCTGATCAGCGGAGTCACGAAGAAGCCCACACACGTACACGCGCGCGCACACACACCTGTGGGATAAACAATATTAATGGATCAAATGAATCATCACACCTCCAGCCTCCTCGCGTGCTCAGGGACTATATTTGTAGGCGGAGGAATAACGTTTTGTATTTATGTGGTGACACTTTATTTTAATATAAGCAATGAGTGCTTGGTTTTAAACTAGTATATTTTATACAAGCATTTCAGGTGTTTTTACTTATAATCAGTATTATTATATAATTTTCCATTCCATTATGTATTTTACTTTTTTATTTCTTTGTTTTTTTATTGGATGACAAACTTCAATGGGGCGCTAAATTGCACTGCAGATACAGCACAGCTCAGCTCACCTAGACGGGCTCTGCCTCACCCTGTCGACTACTGGACGTGTCTGACACTGTCATCTAGTGGTCAAAGGAAGACTGGCAAGTGGAGGTTCTGCATTCTAGTCCTGACTCAATCA